CAGCTACTCGGGAAGCTGAGGCAGGAGAATTGCTTGAACTTGGCAGGCAGAGGTCACAGTGAGCTGAGATGGTGCCACTGCACTCCGGCCTGGGCGACAGAGGGATACTTTGTCTCAAAAGGAAAAGCAAAACAAAACATAATCATCTTATTACAGAAAAGAGGAAGAAAACAGGGCAAGGGGCGTGTGAGACAAAGGCATTTCACAGTCTGTAATACGCTCATTTCTGGATTAATTCTTGATGTTTACACACTATATTCTTGTTCTAAGAATTCCAATTTCCTCATCAAATGTTTGAAACGTGTGAGCTGCTGCTGAAAAGCAAAGGACACCCCTGACTTTATCCTACTGATTAAAGCCTCACAAGTCATCCAGTGTTCTTACCACTGCACAACACATCGCAGGAGAGGCAGGCCAGAAAGACCAAAGCATCACTGTGTGCACCTCCGCCCCTCCTGCATCCCAGTCTCTTTTCATGGTCTGAGATAGTTGGTTTTGATTCTGTATCAGTAAGTACCATGCTTTTGCCAAATCCCGAGTTACAAAATTGCCACCACACAAATATGGCAAATGGTGTTGCCATTTCAATGCTTGCATTTTCTCACCATAAAACTGAAAATTTGTTTCACAAGAGTGAAATACAGAGGGCTGAGCTAAGTGAGGAATTACCAATTTTGATGAGAAGATGCCCTACGTCACCCTACCATAGGATGACGGCTAAGGGAAGGCACTGGATGCTTTCTGTTTTCAATCAGTGAAAAGAAACAACTAGAAATCCTTCTTTTCTATTTCACTGCTACTCTTCCTGGCACTTTCTTTCCAAAATTAAGGGTGAATGGAATTATCCAGTGACCAGTCTGAGGCTTCCCTTGGCAGCTTTCCTTCCTTTTGAGATTCTCTCCCTAAATGAACAGCGACTCAGCCCAGGCCAGTCATCGGCACGGGGCATCACATGGCCTTCGACACCTACGCGCACCTCTGCTCTGCCATCCCTCCCTGCTCTCCAGCCAGCCTGCCTGTGTCTCAGAGGGCTACACGAGGAAAGAGGATGGCGATCTGCTGGGAACTCAAAGGCGGTGTTTATCCATCTACACTCAGGATTGCTTTTTACAGTGGAAAAGGGACCAGGCGGTGGCTACGGCTCCCAGTCCCTACCTGCTGGCATTCCCACTCTACATGGAGAAACAGACAGGAGAAGGCAGTGCCGCTGAACGGCAGCGCAGAACGGGCAGGAGCCTGAAGGCTTCTTCCTTTTTCTAATCTCTGCCACCCCTGTCCACCCCACACATCCCCTGCTGAGGAGAAAGCGAGGATTCCTGAAATTAAAGCACACCCCGAGATACCCCTCCAAGGCTGCCCTCCTGCCTGTCTCCTATAACCAAACTTTCACTCTGCTTCCCAATGGCACACAGACATGTCGTTATTTCTCTCATCTTAAAAAAAGTAAAACACAAATCCTTCTCCTGATTCTTCTTCCCCAGCAGCTGCTATTCTACTTCCTTGCCCATCTGGGCAGCAAAACTCAGGGCAGGTGTTTTCTGTGCTCGCGTTCTCCAGCCCTTCTCCTTCCGTCATCCATGAGTCACTGCCTCAGGCGTGTGTCCCATGCTCATCGGAAACTGCCCTCGTCTGGGTTACCGATCACCACCACTGCTACTCAGGGGAATGGTTCTCAGCCCCGTCTCGGCCTGCCAGAGCACTGAGTACACCCTTCCTCCGTGATGCCCTTCTACTAGGCTTCGAGGTCACCTGCCCATTCCTTTCCAGTCTCCTTTGCTGGTTCTGCCTCTTCCACCCAGCCTCTTACTGACGGGCTCAGGGCTCCGTCCTCATCCTCTGCACTGCTGCCCTCAACCCCTCCGTGCTTCCTTCCAGGATCATGATTTAAATAACATCCTTAATGTCTGTGATTAATCAATTCTTATTTTATTTCCAGCTTAGATCCCTCTCTGAAAGTCCACATTTATGTATCTAATTACCTCCTTAACAATTCCACTTGTTTATCTAATAAACATCTCTGAAACCAAGGTCCTGATTTTTTTCCTGCAAAGCTGTTAGGCATTCAGCCTTTCCTGCATCAGAAAATGGCAGGTCCATCCTTCCAATGACTTCTCTGAGGTTGCCCTCCCTTCTCACATGTCTAATCCATCAGGAAGTTTTGTTGTTAAAACTTCAGAGTAGATCCACGATCCAGCCACCTCTCGCCACCTTTACCAGCAGCTTGGTCAGCTTGGTCAGAGCCACAGACTTCTCTCGCTGGATTGCAGCAAGTCTCCTAACTTGTCCCCATCCTCTGCACCTGCTCCCCACCTAACTGTTCACAGAGGAGCCAGAGTACCTCTTTAGAATTTAAGTCTGCTCAGGGCGCTGCATTTGACTCTCCTATCACTCGGAGTAAACCCAAAGTGCTTGCCGTGGCCCATCGGGCCTGACGCTGTCTGCCCCTCCCCATACCCCTCAGGACACCTCTCCTACCACTCTCTTCTTTGATTATTCTGCTTCAGTCATACTCCAAATACTCTGGGTCCAATACCCGTCTCAGGGCCTTTGCACAGGCTGCTGCCTCAACCTGGAGTGCTCTGCCCAGATGGAGACAGGCATATGGCTCCCTCGCTCATCTCCTTTAAATCTTTGCTCAGGCCAGGCGCAGTGGCTCACACCTGTAATCCCAGCACTTTTTGGGAGGTCGATGCAAGCAGATCACAAGGTCAGGAGTCCAAGACCAGCCTGGCCACTATGGTGAAACCCTGGCCAATATGGTGAAACTCTACTAAAAATAGAAAAATTAGCCAGGTGTGGTGGCGCACGCCTGTAATCCCAGCTACTCGGGAGGCTGAGGCAGGAGAATCGCTTGAACCTGGAAGGCAGAGGTTGCAGTGAGCCAAGATTGCACCATTGCACTCCAGCCTGGTGACAGAGTGAGACTCTGTCTCAAAAAAAAAAAAAAATCTTTGCTCAAATGTTACTTTATCAACGAACCTACCTTGCCCATCATGGTGGACAGTACTTTCCAAAGATGGTGGCATCAGTGTGTCTCCCACATGGACTTCTTACAACCTGACACTGATACTCTTCCCTTGAGAAGTGGGGGCCTAGGTTCCTTCTTGAACCCAAGCAAAATTTTGAAACTGCCCTGGCCAACAGAATGCGATGGAAGTGATGCTGTAAAATTTCTGAGCTTAGGATACAAAAGGCAATAATGGCCTCTACCTGGCTCTCTTTCTTGGGACACTCACTCTGGGAATGCAGCTTCCATGTTGGAAGCCCAGGTCACATGGAGAGGGTCACGTGGAAAAGAGCTGAGGATCCCGGGAGGTAGCCAGTATCAACTGCTAGACATATGAAGAAATGAGCCTTTAGATGATTCTAGATGCCATCCTTCAAGTCTTCTG